AGTATGCAAATTTTGGCTGCATACTGATCCTTTCTAACCCATCCACACAGAAGTAACAATCACTGTCAGTAACATATTTGAATGCAAAGGCCAGCAGCCTACATGTACATATCAGGACCATTGCCTACACTGGTTTATTTCAACTGGGAAAATGAATGGATGACTGATTTACTAAATCCACGCCAGAAGTCAGTCATAAGGTCCAACACTTAGCACATCAAGGGAACTGTGGAATTCCAATCTCACTGACTTCACCAGGTAAAATGAAAGCCACTTAAACTCTCTACTTCAGTTTTCCCCATCTATAAAAAAGTAATCACATTTTTCATAGACTCTGGAGAATAATATGAGGATTAGCTCAGTTGGCTAGTGAAACCAAGGCCACAGGCTTGATTCCCCATATAGTTAGTAGCTTTGAACAGAACAGAAAAATTGTGTTCCTCTGACTCAACTTTAAAGAGGCTGGCTCAGAAAAAGTCGTCATGGGTCAATAGTTCTCTAGAAAGGATGGAGGTGGCAATTTTACTGTGGCAATTACATGAGAAATTTGTAAAATGTTTCAAGCTTCTAGGAAAAAAGCTCTTAAACAAAAAGCACCCCCCCCCCCACACACACAAAATAAATGAGACAATTAAGATGCAGCAGTCTTCTACTAGGCCCTAAGTTCTAAAGGGTATATATTTTATAAATGGCAAGAACTTTCTTACAAAAATGGACAAGACATTTTTGCTTGTTTACTTTTGAAATAATTCTTACATTTCTCCCATAAAAATAGCATCAGTACCTGAAGTTACAGAAAGAATAGTAGTCACCATCATCCCTTAAGTCGGGGTTAATAAAATCAATAATTTTAACAGCAGATCCCTCAGTCTAATTTTTGGCAAAGAAGGGATTCTCTTCTCAATACAGTAAAGTCTTATTAATTTAGATCCTCCTGAATTGGAATCGACGAAACTTCAGCCAACACTGAGCTCTCTATGAAAAGATCTGCTAAGGAAATTGACAGTGGCAAGGCTGTAGGGATGATGTTTAACCTACTTAAAAGAACTTTTTTACATCTTAATAGCATCCTTTTGGATACCAACATGCCAAATACAAATGAATTTTATCTATTCTTCATTAGCACAACCCGGCAGAACCTCTACTTGGTAACCCTGTGTTAGGAATGATGTGGAATATTATATGTACATGAACTCAAGATCATAGGATAATAATCTAAAAACACACCACTTTAGACTTCAATAAATCAGACTACACAATTACCAAAGTTCTATTATATATGAAAGTATAAGTTTTAAAATTCATTTTTGAGAGACAGGGTTCAGATTTTAGAGATACCTCCTTTCTCCAAATTAAAAGCTATACTAGTATAGGTTCTTATGTTTGCCTGAAAATATTAGCCACCTAGCAGTGTAGTAACTTCTGCTCAGCATCTCTGCCCTCCTCATCTGAAACTCACTATTTGGAGACTTTCCAACTAGCTCCTAAATAAATTGAGGGGCCACAACAGAATATCATAGTCTAGACACATCTGGAGTACTTAAGATTCTCCAATATTGGGCATTACATTACAGTCTATCATGTCTGCACACACCCACAATAGCTTCCCTTTAGCCTACAGTACTAGTAAATTAGGGGCAGAACCCACTTGTCCCTTCAGTCAGCAACACTGATGGCAACATTACTCTCAACTGGCACAAACAAGCTAGGGGTCAGGATGGTGGAGGCTGGAGAAATGTGGCAACAGTAGGAGCTAATGATGGTAAGTTAGGACTCTAATTCTTAGGCATGGTTTTGCTCACCAGCTCAGATAAAAGTCTTAGTAAAGATAGGACAGAGTACTCAGCTAAAGAGCCCTGAACAGTCTCGGCAAAAGCCAGCCTGCTTCCTTTTCATTAGTGTGTCCCTTTTTGAACCTGTTTCCACAATTGTAAAATATGGATAATAGCACCTGAGACAGTTATATCCAGGTACAAATGAAAAATCCCTTTCCAAACCTTAAAACACAGTATGTCAATTCCTATAATTATCCATGTCAAAAGATATCTTTCAATGCATTGATTTAAAGAAAAATAATCTAGTCATCAAACTTGCACTGGTATCTACCTGAAACAGTGGCAGAAGCCTACTCAAAAGTTCACTGATGACACACGAACTTAGGCTTTAAGAATAAGTCAATGTGTGGCAGCTAGGTGGCGCAGTGGATATAGCACTGATCCTGGAGTAAGAAGGACCTGAGTTCAAATCTAAACTCAGACACTAGCTGTGTGACCCTGGGCAAGCCACTTAACCCCATTGCCTAGCAATAAACAAAACATGTACGCATGGGAGTTATCTGTCCTCACTAAGTCTGCCAACTTGACTTTGGCCCTGAAATCTTCTACTGGGCAGCCCAATCAGTTTTTTCTAGGCCATTTCTCCCCTATGATTTGTACTCACACAGAATAATATATTATTGCCTCTAAGGCCCATTGGGCCAACACATAACAACAGAGTGGGATGCCTTGGGGGGTACTGAATTTTCCCCATAATGGAAGGTCTTTAAGCAGAAAATAGTTACTTGATGTTGCAGACTGCTAAAGTATAGCTGGATTAAATTAGGGGTTCTTAACCTTGTTTGTGCCATGGACCTCTGGCAATGGGATCCCTTCTCAGAATGTTTTAAAACACATAATATATATAGGACTATAAAGGAAATCAATTATATTGACAGACTTGTCAAAATCTATTTTTTTTAAAAAACAAATTCATGATTTGGAACTGCACCCAATGGGTTATAAAACTGTGCATACTCTTTGGCCCCACAATACCACTTCTAGGTCTGTATTCCAAAGAGATCATAAAAAAGGGAAAAGGACCCACATATACAAAAATATTTATAGCAGCTCTTTTTCTGATGGCAAAAAATTGGAAATTGAGGGGAGGCCCATCAATTGGGAAATGGCTGAACAAGTAGTGGTATACAGATGTAATGAATACTATTGTTCTACAAGAAATGATGAGCAGGCAGACTTCAGAAAAACTTGAAAAGACTTGTATGGACTGATGCAAAGTGAAGTGAGCAAGCAAAGTGAAGTGAGCAGAACCAGGAGAACATTGTACATGGCAACACTGTGTGATGATCAACTACCACAGACTTAGCTCTACTCGGCAATACGATGATCCAAGACAATTCCATAAGACTCATGATGGAAAATGCTATCCACATCCAGAGAAAGAACTATGGAGTCTGAATGCAGATCAAAGCATATTATTTTCACATTTTTTTCTTTCTCATGGTTTTTCCCTTTCCTGATTCTTCTATCACAACATGACTAATGTGGAAATGTTTAACACGATTATATATGCATAACCTATGTCAGATTGTTTGCTGTCTTGGAGAAGAGGGTGGGGAGGGAGAAAAATTTCAAACTCAAAATATTACAAAAATGAATGTTGAAAATTATCTTTACATGTAATTGGAAAAAATTAAAATACTAAGAAAAAAAAGAAAATATTCCCCCTTAAAAAAAAAAGTCATGGGGTTAAAAATACTTGAATAGGATGGACTGAGATCTAAGTACTCCTATAGGCTTCTGGTTCTACTTCTAGACTGCAATTAAATTCCTTATTGTTTTTTACTATTTGTCAGATTACTAATATGGATGCCCCATGGTTCTAAATAAGAACCCACATTTATGCTTTATATGTATACTGTAACGTTCCCTTTTCAAACACATGCAAAAAAATTGCCATCATATGCTGGCATGAGAACATGGCAATCATTCCAGGTGCCAGCCATCTGTATTTGTACTCAACAGCTCTGTTTTGGGGGTAAGCAGTACTAAAGTAAGAATCAATTCAGTTTCTTGAAAGATTAGCTAGGAGATGGCTCAGAAGACAAACCAATTAGTACAGTGAGACAGTCTAAAAATTAAGCACAATTTTCTGCTAGTTGCAAAATGTTTGCCATAGTCTGAGATTATGGGGGTGGCACTTGGATGGATTTTAGGACCCAAGGACAATGAAAATGTATTTACTTAGAACAAATGTCTTTGCTACAATGCAAATGAGAATCAGCCATTGACCTCTAGGAGACTGAAGTTAAGAAGAAAGTAATTTTACCACTTACACTTTGTTCCATTGTTCTATAATGTGCAGGTATACACAGGGGACAACTTGCTCCAGTAAAATTGCATGTTATAGTACTTTTATTACCGTAAAAATTGTAACATTTCCCAAAATAGATCCTGATTAAAAGTAGTTCCACTGGCTGAAAACACCACTCTGCTACAGATCTATTAAAATCCAGATATGGCAAGGGGGAAATAAAGACACATACCAAGGAGGGGATCAGGGAAGAAGTTAGCAAAAATAGGATGCTACAGATTTGTGGGAGATAAAAATGGAATTGCTTTTAGAAGCAGCTAATTTCAGTGAATGAAGGGACACAGTAACCTGGCTGCCTTGCACATTCTACAAAACAAATGAGAAAATGCATGCTCCACTTGGAGGAACATCCATTTTCTCCTTAAAAGAAGTCATTTATAAAAGAGCAAATTGGTGATTTGTACTTACAGATTGGACCCTTTTCAGCCCTTGTCAAAAAGTGATAAATTATTGAAGCATAGTATAAAAGTGTTTTATTTTCTGTGTGCACTCATCAAAGCTTTCTGAAATGTTTCTATTCACCTTTCCCCTGCTATTAATTAAAAAATAATTGTTTCAAATTATTCCCTGATCTAAAACAAAACAAGAAAACAAAACAAAAAAAAAACCCCCACACCACTCGCTGCTCCCTACCACCACCAACTTGCAAGGAAGGAATTGTTTAAAATTACACCACTGGTTCCTGGAACCAAGAACCTGTTTATATTAGAGTAGGGACAAAGGAAGGGAAGGAAAGAGGAAGGCCAATATGACATTTGCACAATTGTCTTGTGCTCATTCAACCATAGTGCCTAGATGTATTTGTTGTTCCTAAAGACACCATATAAAACCATTCAGAGAATAAAACAGGGTTTTGAAAAGCCCATTAATAAATTGTAAAAACTCACTTGGCGGGAGACATATTACCTAAAGCCACTGTCTTGTGCCAAACAACATAAAAGCAGAGGTCTGAGGCAGGACTACTGGATAAAACCATGATCAAATTTAGTTCAGACTTCTATTGCAAAGGCTTCCCTAAAATTACTTTCCAAACATGTTAGAAGGTTAACATAGGATTATTTCCAAATCATAATTTAGTATTTCAAACCTTAGAAACACTAGGCTTTCCTTTAATCAAAAGTGTTGTTGTAGAAACATACAGAGATGCCCTGTCCCCTACTGTGTTTGTAAAAACAGATTATACTTATGTCATTTTTGCTTGAGGAAAAGAAATAAGGACATCTAAAAAATCTAACTAGAATAGTGTCAGGGAAGAAGGGAGTGGACAGACACCAGGATAACTGCTGACAGATACCAAATGAAAATTTTTTTCACTTAATTGGCCCAGAGTTAACACGCATACTACTTTTCATACTCAGTTCTTTTCCTTCACACTCTTTTTATGGAAATGCTACCATTACATTTGATTCAAACTATTTAATTCTGGTCTACCTCCACCCTTCTCTCACCTACTCCTCCCTCCCCTAATCCCTACTTCCAGGGGATTTAATTGTTTAGCACCTACATTTTAAAATTTACAGACATTTAAAAAAGTTTCAGACTCAAGTTGGACATCTTTTAATAGGGCATTTCTACTAATATATTCGTGTAACTTGTAGCTTGGCAGAAAAGAAAAGCAATAAAACAAGTGGTAACACTTTTTGAAATTGCCTGAATTGGAAAGCTCATCCCATCCAACTGTTTTACTTTCAGTCAAGGGTATGAGAAAGAAAAAGCCTTCTTCATAGTAGATTTCATTACTTGAAATTTTAAATTGGGAGAAAAATTTTTTTCAGCAGCAGCAGGTAACAATCTGTTACCTTTTAGTTTTTTTATTCATTATCACTGACACAGTCATAAGAAAGTTACCAAACTTAAAGGGTAGAACAGCTCTGTACAACTGAAACCATTAGTTTATGTATGTTTAAAATGGCTCCACTTCCTCCCCCCAAGTCAGTGCATAAACTATAATGAAAACAGGAAAATTTACATAACAAAAATAGGAACAAATTTTTTTTAAATTTTTTAAAAAATATATGAAAATACAAAATTATTCCTTTCCTGGTATCTTCACATTCTTCTCTTCTGTGTACTTATATATAACACTGAAAAAGAAAATAAGAAATTGATTAAAAGGGATGTTCTTGAAAACAATTACAATAGCAAGTTTTATAGAAAATATATTTTGATTTCCTAGTTTTAAAAAACAAATTTCAAAAAAACACTTAATTCACAACATAAAATGAACTTTAGGACATATTACTTTATGAATGACTCTAGACTTGAGCTTGAAGTCCAGAGCAGTACATTCTGATTTTGGCTCTGGATCTTTACTCACTGTGACATTTATATAAAATTAAGACTCACCTCACAGTGATGCCAAAAGCTATCACCTCACAGTGATAAAATAAGCTAATTCAGGTTAACATACTGGGGATATAAATTTTACAAAAATACAAAGTATTATGTTTATGCTCCCAAAAAAGTGAAAGTTTTCTGAATCCCTGAGATTAGTACCATTCAGCACCTCATAGGGATGTCAGAATAAAATCTACAAAAAAATAGACTATTACTATTATATTCCGAGTCCTGTTTCTGCCAGAGATTATCTGTTCTGCACTTAGGCAAATAACAACTTTGCAGCCTCCCAGGGCTACTGTTAGGGAAGTATGTGGTAAACTTTAAAACATTATATAAAAGGAAATTATTACATAAGACAATGGAAAACAGGTTGGTCAATGAGCATTTATTAAGTGCTTACTATGTGCTGGGCACTGCGCTAAGTGCTTAGAGATACAAAGAAAGGCAAGAGAAGTCAGAGAGTAGGGGATCTCATTTTCCTAAATCTATTTTTTTCCTCTTGCTTTCTGGATTATATTTCTGTCCTTTGCTCTACTTCTAATTTTTTGTTCTATCTCTCCCTGCCCCCAACAGAAATAATGAATTCATTGTTTCACTTTTTAAACTAAATCCAACTGATGGGGAAAATAAATGAATGAATAAAACCTCTATTAAGTCCTTACTATCCACAAATACGAATAGAAAAGACAACCCTTGCTCTCAAAGATCTCACAAGCAAATAGGGAGAGAATAAAAATTTCAGTCTAAGTCAAATGGAAAGGTTCTATGGTTCTTAGGGTGCAGCAGCAAAACAGATGTTAAAGTTTTATTTTTATTATTAGATGTGTGACCCTGGGCAAGTCACTTAACTTCTGTTTGCCTCAATTTTCTCAACTGTAAAACAGGAATAACCAGTAGCATCTATTTCCCAAGACTGTTGCGAGGATTAAATGAGATAATATTTTAAAGCACTTACTGCTTGGCACATAGTAGGTACAATAAAAATGCTATTATTAATGTTATTATTTTCGTGTCATTTCATTGATAAAATCACCATCTGAAAATGCCAAGGATTTTACTAACAAGAACTTTCCTTTCTGGGTTGCTCTTGAGTTCAACTGGATCTCTACTAGGGACCAATGGGAGATGGTGATTTGACTTGCTTGCCACATACTGCCTCTTGTCTCTCCCTCAAGGTGCCCTGTCCACTGTTTCAACCAGGTGGGCTTGGCTGACCCATGCGTGGCAGCTGACTGTAATTGATAGGAATGATCGGCCCCTCTTTGCAGGCACTGCCTTCCCCAGATGATGGCTGTGCGTCTACTCCCAGGGCTCTTGTGACTGTTGGTGGTAACTGGTCAGAAGTTGTTGCCCGTGGTGATAATGAAAAGTGCCCCTTCCCTTCTTTCTCTCTTCAATAATGGTTGGCAGGGTGGGGCTGGAAGTAGGTCTAGTGCTTTGAGAAGCACTGCTATTGCCAAGGTTGAGTTCAATGTCCTTGATTATATCCATCAGGGTACCAGGGAAGATGGCAAATCAAGGTGGTGGTGATGGGGTGACTTGTCTGGCACAAACTGCATCCCATCTGTCTCTGAGGGCCTCACTGCTTTAGTCAGGTAGGCTTGCTGGCCCCATGAGTGGCAGATGGTGGGAATGACTGGCCCCTGAGGGTTGGGCTGGAAGACCAGGGGTATGAGGGGTGCCCCACTCCCAAGGCTCCTTTCTGACAGGCAGATGTTGGCGGTAGTTGGTCAGAAGTTGCTGCTGGTGGTTAAGAGGAAAGTGGGACCCCTCTCTACAATGATTTCTCCCCCTCATGGCTGTGGGGGCAGAGCTGATAGGCTATTGAAAGGGCCCTCAGAGATCATCTACAATTCTTAACCTGGGTGGGATCCATGGACAAGGGGTCTGTGAACTTAGATGAGAAAAAAATTAACACCTTTATTTCCACAAACCTTTAGTTCCCTTTATAATTCTGTGTATTTTGTTTTGTGCATTCAAAAATATCATTCTGAGAAGGGGTCCACGACACAGAAAAGGTTAAGAACTTTAGTCCAAAAGCCATTTTATGAGGGTACTCTCCACTAAACCCAGGTTAAAAGCTATGAAATCAATAGTGAATGATACACACAATGGTTGTTTCTTAAATATGTCTATCTAACTACCCAATCTGCCCTCCCCAAAAGACTCGGCTTGTGAGTATCGGCCAAAATTTGGTGGTCATGTAGATCTGGTTACAGATTCAAGAAAGGTCCCTTGCTTTTTGAAGCACAGCTTAGTGATGTCAAATTTATTGTTGACAATGGTCATTAAGAAATTCTGAGGTAAAAATAGCATATAGATTAACCAAGTGAACCTTGGCTCTTCTCCAAGACCTAAGGAAAGGTGTTCCAAAGCATCTGGGTTATGAATTAGTAAGAATTTTAACATGATTGCCATTAAGAAGGTTATGGGAAAGGTCATAAGCAAATTCAGCAGAGAATACACCTATTCCCAAAGGGGAGGTGGTAGAAGGTGAAAGAAGATCACTCACAAAACAGCTGGCATTAGTATAGTCCTTAATTTTCAAAAGCACTAATACCCCCTGACTATAACTCAAAGATTAGAACACCAGGTGACCACTAGTCATTAAATAATTTGCTCTAAATATCTGGATCAAAGAACTACAAAAGTTTAAAAATTCTGAGTTGTTCAAAATAACCATCTCTGAAAGCAATTCCTGTGCCAGAAGTAAATGTGCAGAAAACTGCATGCTTCTTTCTCCCTTTAGCAGAGGATGGATCTTTTGCTCTTCTGACAAAGAACTCACAGTCAGCAGACAAGGGAAGCGGGCCACAAAAAGTTGGGGAGTGGGAAGAGGCAGCCATAGATTCCTTTAGAAGACAAGGAAATCACACCTCAAAGTTAGAGACAGAGAGGGCTCACAGATAGTTGTGGGGCAGGAAAGTTGACTGGCTAGGGATGGAGGAAAAAATAATGTCAAGATCCAGACAGTAAACGAGGAAACCTTCCTAGGGGCACTGAAATAATTAAGAGTTGATTATAATACTAGCATTGTTCTTAGGAGTCAGGTCATCAAAAAACACCATTCAGTATTTCAGAAATTCTGTGATTTCATTGATGGTTATTTCTCTTGAGTGATGCAGACTGGAGTTACTTCCAAAGTCCCATGTTGAAGCCAACAGGTTCACAAGATAGGGTGGCCAATGATGAAACTTTTCCACGTTTAGCCAACCTGCTCCGCTGCCAGGTCTGTATTCACTACAGTATGTAGGATCTGTCAGAGCTTATACTTAGCATAGCATAGCCCAGAGTCAGCTTTATGTCAGAATGAGGCATCAAAGAAGAACTTTTGGTATTATAAATGTTCTTCTATAGATGAGGAAGCTAAAGACATGAGAATAAATGAAGAATTCTTTATCTTGTGGGACATGAAATGTTATAAAATAATTTTAAAAAATAAAATGCAAAAATTTGGAAATTCTGAATTTGGGATCAAAATGAGAAGACAAGATATACGGAAATAACTGTCTGTGGCACTTTTAAAGTAAGAAAAAGACAAAAGCTCTGACGCAAAGAAACATAGTACTAAAGGAATGAAGTATGTATTTCAAAACTTGGCTTGGGTGGAACATCATAGCAAGAAGGCTTGTGAATCAATGGATTAAATACACAAGTTATGCGAGACCAAAGAGCATCAAATTAGTATTTGAAAAAAAATCAGAACTCAAAGTTCTTATTGATGGGGCATATATAAAAAAAATTGGATAGAGAATAGGTACTTGACCTGTGATTTCACTGGTATAGGAAACTCCCAGATGAGGAAATTCCCTCTACTAATGCAGGTCAGTACCTTCTCTGTAATCATTTACTCTTAAAGAGAAGCCTAATCCATGTGTGAGAAGGAAAGTGACTTGGCCAAGACCACAAGGTCAGTCTGTGTCAGGAACAGGATTTGAACTAGGTCTTTCTGACTCCAAGGCAAGCTCTTTATCCAATATGCCACAATGGCTCTTTCTAAAATAAATAGCTACCATTAATTTAGATGCCAACTTTACATAAGGTTTTAAACTTCAAACTGTGACCAAGTATTCTTTTAACTAATATAATGCTATGAATGTCATTATTAAGTTATGGTTATATCCCACTGACACATTATGTCCTATATGTCATCTATGAATTCTTAAAAGCACAACTCAAAAAGCATCTGATGCATTCCACAGAGAAAGATCAGTTTAAGACAAACTAACTGCCAATGTTATTCAAGTCAATGATGAATCAAGGACATTCTGCTTCAAAACATTATTTTCTCAAGCCATTTGAAGGTTGAGATACAAGTTGTCATATAGCAGAAACTGAGAGTATAAAGATTTAGGTTTTAATCTTAGTCAGCTTTAACTTTCTGTGTGATCTCTTTGGATTCAGTTTTCGTATCTATAAGACAAGTGGGCTCCATATCACAGAAAAGTTCCCAACCTTTTTTAGCCCTCATATCCCTTGGTTTTCTGTACAACCTTCCCAAGTCCCCTATACAATGTGAAAGAAATTTTTTTTTTTTAGAGTTTACTATGCATATGCATGTAAAAATAAAAGAGATAATTTAAATAAGATAATATACTTATGAAATATTTCCATATCCCTTGGAAATTTCTGCATACCCTAGGCTGGAAACCCCCACTCTATAAGGTAAAGTCTGGGCCCAGTTAGCTCTAAATTAAAAAGTACCTATGAAAGCACAAACTGAATTAAACATCTTATTGCCATGCCTCACTATGAACAGACATAAAAACAGAAACTGCACTTTGATTTAAAACATATAGAAACATTGACTGCAATTATGAAAAAATCATTTCAGAAGCACAGCTGTAGTTATTAAAAAGAACATTACCATTGTTTCCTCGAATAAATGCATCCCCATACTTATTCTTCAGTTGTCCATTTACATATTCTTCTGTTTGTTCCAGAGCTATATTCATGTAGCCATCCAGGCAAGCCAGGACACCTAGAGACACATAACAATAAAGAGATGATATACAAAGTAAATCAAGCTTGAAAATCACAGAGTAAATAATATACATGACAACCTTTTTTTGTTCCACTGAATACTACAGGCTTGATATAAATTCAAACAGTTAAGTGACAAAGCAAAATTTTTAAATCCCTTTCTGTATGCCAATATAAATAAAATCTGAAGAGAATACAATACAGAAGTATGTATGCATTCACAACCACCAGGTAAAACAATGACTCTTCATTCATCTTTTTAAAAGCCTTTACAGAACGTAACAGAATATTTTTAATCACTGCACGTTTCCTATTTTGAAAGCTAAAAACGTGAGAGCTGCTACAATTACACAGCAGTGAATGGCCATTCTCTCATACAGCTCCATTCCAATGGCACTGTCTTTCACATTAAACACTCAATCAAAAAGCTTGATCTGGCTAATTTATTTCAGCCTTTCACAATGTCTACAGCAGCAGATGAACTTATCCACAGTGTTAAGTGGAAGTCTCCCCAATCTGTTGAAATAATAGAACAGGAGACAGCAGGTGTTACTGAAAGAACATCTCAAAGCGGTGACTCACAGTGAGGAGCAGCTTGAGAATACACAACAACATATTGTACTGTGACACATCCCATTTTGTTTTGTTACAGTTACAATATATTTTCAAATCAAAGCTACTATAGAAAAGTAGCTAAATGCATTCTAAAGTAGCTTTCCAGGAAACCACTCTAGTATATTCTTTTAATCATACTGAGGTGACATAAATTTTGCACAACTTTTACATGCCAACTTTTTACTTTAAGTTTGTCATTTCAGGATAGAATTTTGTATGCTTCTAACTCAAAGTCTCTAAATTAAAGTGATACTTTCCAAGAAAATTTGCAGAGTAAAACAAGAACTGCAGAATTTAATTCTCTTAAGTAAAGGAAAATGGACCAATTGTCAATAAATTCTTTTAAAGCCATAACTTCGTTAATATGCTCCTCCTTCTCTGCCTGTGCCCCCATTATACCTCAAACAACAAGAAAAAGAATCCTTTTCAAAATTGTGACTGAGGAAATGAGAACAGGCTAAAGAATATCAGAATCTTGTTTCTGGAAAGTTAAAAAAAAAGGCTTTATCTAATTAATAACCTTACAATTACATAATGTTAAATAAAATAAGTAGGAAAGACTTGTTTTTAGAGTATTTAACTTCTTTACAGATATGAATGAACCTTTTTTCTGAGACATAGTTTACATGCTTTTAATGGTTTCCACCTCCAGTTATGCAAATTTGTTTGAAAAGGAAAAGTATTTTATAGTTAAACTTTCATCTTCTGATTAAAAGACATTTTCCCCATAGCAACAGCTAGTAAATCTATCTAGATGAAAAAATCAGTTAAACTAGATGTGGAGAAGGCTGAAATCAGAACCTCTTCCAATCCCTCTTAAAATAGATACATGAACAGATTGTTATACCAAGAGCATTTTAAACAACCACACACACAAAAAAAATGATGTTTGCAATAATATTTTCTAATAGTGCAATAATATTTGGCTTCAGCATTATGCAAAGACAAAAACTACTTTTAATGATCTATTTCCTGCACATCCAAAGTATGCTCAGCACTGTCAGAACATACAGAACACTCTGTCCCCTCACTAATCAATTAGCTCATATATTCAAGTCCCAGAAAGCCTATTACTTTCTCTGGGCTCATTGAAAGTTTATGGCTAAGAAGCAATGCATGGATATTTCACATTGCCTTTCTACACAGTATAAGTCCATTAATCCTACTATAAAATTCAATTAGTCTTGAACTATGTTATTCATTTTAAGTCGTGAAGGCAGTGTCTAAATATGCTAAATAAAAAACCAAGCCAGTTAACCAGAAAATTTAGGCCCCCACAAAGTCAACAAAACCTTAATATGGAATAAAGACAGAATTGCCAGTCTGAATTATCTATAATGTATACATTAAATTTCCTATACATCAAAATTCCTTCATTTTGTCTGAGAAGGCAACTACTGTCAATATAAAAGAACTCCCCTACCCCCACTCCAACAACAGATCCAGCAATTTTGGCAGAATTCATGACTAAACTGATTCGTTTAGTAATGAAAGTGATCTCCCAAATCTGAACATATTTAATTTCAACAAATGAGAATTAACAAAAATGTTTTTACTTCATACCAACCCTATGTGCAAGTACTTTTAATCTTTATCATGATGCTAAACTAACTAAAGCCTAGAGGGGTTAAGTGACAAAACTTGGCTATGGTTCTGAAGTGTAGCAATCAGTACTTCAACTCAGATCTTCTGATTCTGAGTTCAGTGCTCACTCCATTCCTTCAAGGTTTAAAAAAAAAAAAGTTTTTGGGTACTAAGGTTCTGAACTACAGAATTCTAATATTCATCTCTTAAGAACAAATATTGCTTTAGGGTTACATCATCTTTTGTTTAGTCCACTGATTTCAAAACAGATTACTAAATGTCAAGTGCTTTGTGACAATCCCAGGACATCATCTTAATACCCAAAGTTCTTAACTCCAGAGTTGATCCCCACTCTGTCCTGGGTATCATTAGAGGTACTGATATTCAAAGAGTTTAAGAAAAGAAAGCTTGTGTCTAATACAGCCCAAGACAAAAGTATATAAAATATTGTCATTATGGTACCAAATCTTCCCTGGTTAAAGCAGAATAGGTGGTGATAGAATCTGTTTAATAACCAACAGCTTTTGTCTACCTATTGGGAGTTCTAAAAAAGCTCCAAAAAAGTGAATCTACACTATTTAGTTATAAAGATACATAAAGTGGGTAGGCAAGAAACCATTACCTCGGTAATCAACTCCAGAATTTAACTTTACTACAACTGGTCTTCCTATGATCTGCTTTAGGAAATCACTGGGAGTTTGCTTCCGTAGACTCATTGTAGCAATCCTGTTTAGAGGACAAAAAAGAAAAAGATAAGGGTTAATTATCCACAAAAGAAAGAAACCAAACATGGATAAATTGCTTACAGAACACTGTAACACTAATCCAGAAGAATGAAAAAATAGAAGAGAATGTGAAATATCTCATTGAAAAAACAACTGACTTGGAAAATAGATCCAAGAAAGAGAACTTAAAAATTACTGGACTATCTGAAAGCCATGATCAAAAAAAGAGCCCAGACACCATCTTTCAAGAAATTATCAAGGAAAACTGCCCTGGTATTTTAGAACCAGAGGGCAAAATTGAAATTGATCACCTCCTGAAAGAGATCCCCAAAGGAAAACTCCAAGGAATATTGTAGCCAAATTCCAGAATTCCTAGGTCAAGGAGAAAATATTGTAAGCAGCCAGAAAGAAACAATTCAAGTATTGTGGAAACACAATCAGGATAACACAAGATTTAGCAGCTTCTACATGAAGGGACCGCAGGGCATGGAGTATGATATTCGGGAGGGCAAAGGAGATAGGACTACAACCAAGAATCACCTACCCAGTAAAACTGAGTATAATCCTTTAGGGTAAAAAATAGTCATTCAATGAAATAGGGGACTTTCAAGCATTCCTAAGGAAAAGACCAGAGCTGAATAGAAAATTTGACTTTCAAATACAAGACTCAAGTGAAACATGGAAGCGGTAAACAGGAAAGAGAAATAATAATAATACTAAGAGACTTACTAAGGTTGAACTGTTTACATTCCTGCAGGGAAACGATATTTGTAACTCATGAGTCCTTTGTCAGTATTAGGGTAGTGGGAGGGAAAAAAATTATATGTATGTATAGACAGATAGAAGGCACAGGGTGAGTTGAAGATGAAGGGTTGATAATCTGGAAAATAAAATTAAGGAGTGACAGGATTATACTGGAAGAAGGAGAAAGGGAAAAGTAGAATGGGGTAAATTATCTCAATATGAAACAGACAAGAAAAGGCTTTTACAGTGAAGGGGAAATGGGGGAAGGTGAGAGGGAATGAGTGAATCCTATTCTCATAGGATTTGGCTTAAGGAGGGAATAACATACACAAGGGGGTACGGAAATCTATCTTACCCTACAGGAAAATAAGGGGGGAAGGGGACAAGAGAGCAGGGGGTTGATAGAGGGGAGGGCAGATTGGGGGAGGGGATAATCAAAAGCAAACGCTTCTGAGGAGGGGCAGGGTCAAAAGAGAGAATAGAATAAATGGAGGGTAGGATAGGATAAAGGGAAATATACTTAGTTTTTCACAATAGGACTATACTATGGAAGTGTTTTGCATGACTACACATCTGCAACCTGCATCGGGATGCTTGCCTTTTCAATGAGGGTGGGTGGGGAGGGAGGAAGGGAGAAAATTTGTAACCCAAAGTTTTAAAAACACATGTTAAAAATAAAAAAAAATTTAAAAAAAGTTTACAGGAAATAAACTGCCAAAGAACTAGATAAAAATAAAATTTTGGAATATAAACTGTAAACTGCAAGACATTGAAAAGTCCCCAATGTAGTCAAAGATTTTGTTTTCTACATTAAAACATTAGTTTAAAAAATGGTAGCTATTTATAAAAAAAAAAAAAGAGGAGCAGGGAACCACCACTAGATGCAAAACCATCATATTAAATCATCAAGTAAAATACGGCTCACCATTTTTTTCCAACTCATCTTGTTTTACAACAGCTACTTACAAAGGTTTGAGAAGCAAATCAAATGAAACCTGATTTTGAAATTATTCTTTTGTTTTGGTCAAATTCAGCATCCACCTAATTTCTAGATTGCAAGGTGGCATGTAATTTTTAAAAAATTTTCTACCCTCAAAAATGCTTTTACCAGTTTTTAAAATTTGTAAAGGAAAAAAATGGAGGCATTTTTGAAATTATTCACTGATAAATTCTTTTTACAAAATAGCAGAGGCCTAACATGCAACATGCAGTCCTTTTAACAATTTGGGCTTTGCTTAGTTTCAGGGCAGTTATCTTGGAGATTTGATAAAGTGAGGAACAGAGGTTTTACTACTTGAACAAGCTGTAAATTTTTTTTTTTCAATCTACAATAACATTTATCTTGTCCCTGTCCTCTTTCTCCCCACCTCCCTGGGCAAAGTTAATCCACCCAGTTTTGGCACTCTCCCAGGGACTAAGTTATACTGATGTTGGATGAGTGAAAACTCATCAAATTCACTATATTTAGCTGGTCCAAGATCATACTTCATATCCCATCCAGTAATCTACCTGGAAATGGGGTCTAACCAGGATAGTTATTGGGGCACATGCTATGCCAGTGAACTTTTTCCCTAATCAATATGGTGTTGCCATTGATATTAGATCTTTCTAGTATTGGCCTAACATGAGACTGTTGATGGCTCCAGTCACAATCTCTGGCTCTCAAGCCCAGAATTCATTTCCCTAGTCCCCACTCTCCTAGATGTGTTGTATCCCTTATTAGAAATGTAAGTTCCTTGACAGACAGTCTTACTTTTTCCATTTGTATCCTCAGAACTTAGCCCATGGTAGGCATTTGATAAATGCTAGTTTTTCATTGAAATATTTGAGAGCCTATCATATGTAAGGTACTGTTGACTACAAAAATAAATAAAATCCACTCCTGTTTTTCAAAAGTTTGTAATATGTTAAAATTACAGCTTTTATACAAGGCAAGGGTAGATTAATAGGAAGAACGGCAATCATCTCAGTAAATTAAATTTTTATAAGAATTTGTTTTTCAATTGTTTCAGTCATGTCCACTCTTTGTGACCCCATTTGGGGTTTTCTTGGCAAAGACATTGAACGTTTGCCATTTCCTTTTCCAGCTCAGAGGGAGACCTGCAAACCAGCCTGATTTCATAAGAGGGGAAAAAAAAGCCATTCTTCAATTTCATATTCTGGTAACAAGACACTGAAAAAACAAAAGGGAGAAGGGGACCCATAAAGAAAAATGAAATGTCAAATTAAATATTTTGTCCATATTTCAAAAACAATTTAACCAATTCCATTTTCTACTAAACTGCCTAGTTCTGGTATCATGAATGCAGCTTCAGTTGATAATTCAAAGTATGTCACAAGAATAACTGGAAACAATACTTACCGGCTTCACACTGTATGAAAATTATACTGAAGTTGTACTAAATACAGGGAGGAAACTAAAAAACCAAAAACTGTAACAGAAAATTTAGGACCAGTGAAGGTAGTTTTGTGTGTGTGCATTCACTTTAATGGGGGGGGTGGGGGGAAGCAACCACCTATTTATGTACAAACTGCTTTACTTTAAGCCCAGGATAAATGATGTTTCATAGCAAAACAAGCTGGACACTGACTTTCTCTAAAAGAGAGTGATAAAGGTTATCACTTCAGAAAGTTTGCCTTTAAATTCTGAGATTATACCAAAAATGAAAAAGTCAAGGAGTAATAAACCTCACTGTGCCTCAGTTTCTCTAAATATAAGAGACGACACTCTTTGCACACTCTGAGGACACTAAAATACATGAATGAATTAGATGTATAATATTATTAAGAACCTTGATGTTTCAAGTTAGCAGCAAGGTTAGAAAGCTTGAATTTATCTTTCACTCTGTCAACTACTAACGTAGTCAGTTGATAAATACTTATTAAGCACCTACTACAAGCCAAACTGTGCTGAACTCTGGAAATACAAAGAAAGGCAAAAGAATCTCTGCTCTCAAGGAGTTCACAATCTAAAGGGGAAAGATAACATAAAAAGAAACCAAAAAGGAGGCAGGGTGCTCAGCCTATGGGCATAATGAAGTCTTGCAGCCAGGTGGGAAATGATGAGGTGTTTGCCCTAGGCTCCCCTCTTTACATAGAGGATCTAGAAGGAACTTCCTGATGTCCACCCTCTACCCTCTCCAATCAAAGGGAGGAAGGGGACCAAGAGGAAGGGGGGGAAATCGAGAAGGTTTGAGTTTCAAAGCTAATTTGATCTATAGGAAGATGAATTTCTGGAGACAATGATAGAATGATAGAGTTAGAAAAGGTTCCAGCAATAAGTACCATGAATAATTGATCCAACAAGAACTGCCTCCCCTTCCTGTGCCCACAATTAGCTTATCTTATACATCTATATACATATATGAAACTGTATAAGCCTATATGTGTTTATATTGTCACCCCCTATAGAATGTAAGCTTCATAAGGGCAGATATTTTTTTTTTTGTCTTTTATCCCCAGTGTCTTGAGTGCTGCCTGGGACAGTCCATGCTTAATAAAAGTCTGCTGATTATCTTTTCAAGTACTACTTTCTTCTCCATGATGCCTTCCCTTGTAACTCCAGCCAATAATCAGTTTGGAATTTTATTATGTTCAACTTTTGCATTTCATTGTATAGTGTCTTGCAATTGTTCTCAATTTTTTCATGTGTGTGAGTCTGGTATCCCTCCAAAAATCTATATAAGCTCCATGAAGATAGGGACAACAATAAAGTCTCTTTTATCACTTAAAGTATTCAGCATATTAGACATGTAAAAGGCAAATATTAATGAAGTGTATAGTTAGAAAAAGGCTGATATCCTCAAATACATTGATCTTTCATTTAAGTAGACCAATATATTTTTACATTGAATATATTTTTACATAGTTAATTTTAAGTCATTACTGTTATTTACTAGTTTGCCAATGATCATTTTATATAGGTAAATTTTTAAATGACACTATAATTTTTTTTCCATTGGAAGATTTAATTTTAAATTATCTTTGAAACTGAATAAAGCTGAAGGCATAGCTCTTTTGATATTAGTTTATGAAGACAACAAAATTCTTGAATGATGTAGCCACAAGAGGATCGAGGGATTTTCTGCACATTTACCTTAAAACTTGTGTAATGCATAAAGCACTGGATCTGGAATAAGATGTTCCGGCAAAAAATAAATAAATAAAGATGACTTGGGTTCAAATCTCAGTTCTGCACTTATAATATCTTCACAGATTTAGAGATGGAAAGGATCTCAGAGCTCATATAGAACAACC